TGATTGAAACCACTTGCATCAAAATCAACGCTGATGTCTCTGATTTTCCAAGCACCACGTGAATACGTTTATTTTCTTGAATCCGTTGCCGACTCAGCACAAAGTCCACAAGAGGAAAAAACTGATTCGGTAGCATGCGAATTTTACTTAACGAGGCTGCATTGTTATTCAATGCCCGCATGCATCTCCATCCTCAGAATTCATATACGTGATTTATCTGACCGAGCACACTTTATAGCATCAATTATGATAGCCTATTCGTCGAACGTTTCTAACATTCGAACTTTATTTCCCGATATGCTCCACTTTTTCTCAGGTACAGCAATCAGCCAACCACCAGCACCATCACAGCAGCATACGTTCCCCGGGATCAATCGAGCAGATTTGAACCGATACAATTGAACATTATAGCCGGGTCTCGCTCAGTTCCTAGCATTGTGGACGCCTGTAGATGGGGCTAGTCGGCTGTTTCCTCACAGCACGCACAACGCACGGGCCGCTGCCGTGTTGTCGATTTGTAAACACCGGAAACACAATCTCGAGGAAAAGCATGCCACGGAACACAGTTCAGAATCTTACCGCACAAGTTCAGCCTTAAACCGCTTCTTTCTTTTTCGAACTGTTACCCATATCGGAATAACGCTCTATTTCTTTCTTTCTCTCTCTATTTTGCACATAGTACCAAATATCTCTTTTTAATTTCCGCTCCACCCATTACTCACCACTCTGACCAAAAACCCGTAGGTACCAGGTCTGATCAGGCCGGATTCACGGGTGCTCTACACAGCCAGTCCCTTTCACAATCAGTTGTTATGACCATTAGTACCATGGATTACCCTCCGTATTGTTGTTAAGCTCCTGTATCCCACATTCTTGCCTTTCTAATGACCGATACAACTGGTAATGCGCGCCTGAGCAGCACCAGTGTTTCTCCCTCCCCTGGATCCCCGCTCCGAGATTATCTACGGAGTTTTTTTTTTAAACCAAGGCTTGTATCAACAGAAATAAAGGTGTGTGACTTTCTACCAGGACAGAAAGGTCTGTGTTGGACAGTACATGGGAAACTCCGTTGGCCGCCAAGTAACAAAAGTGTGCGGGGGGGAGGACTATATGGTACATTCAAGTTCAGTGTAAAAAAGAAACTCACGGTCGCTCACAGTTGTATCGCTGTCTGCGAAGAGATTGAACAGGAGACAACAAATTTAGACGGGGAATGTTCGGGTTAGCCCATCCGGATTTTTCACAACCAATAGGCACTGTTGACCATCTTGGATTTGGGTTTCACTTCTTGGGATCTCGTTAATTTCCCATGAGGCAAATACGATGGAAATGTTTGTGATGACGCACAGCTGTTTCGTCCTGTTTGGGACTCGTCAGCAGTGTTCACTTTTTGTCCGTCAGAACTCGTGAGGAATTAACGGTCTCCTAAGGAGTGAAACCCACATCCAAGATCATCAACGGTGCCTGTGAAAAAACCAAATCGGTTAGTTCAAACATTCACCGTCTAAATTGATTGAGCAATTCACGCAAGATGATGACCGTCGGTCGTGTAGCTCAGGGGTAAGGGTTTGAAGTCTTGACCTGAATGTTCACGGTTCGAGTCCTAACAGGGACATAAAAAGTACGCACTGCTGACGAGTCCCACACAGGACGAAACAGCTCTGTCCAGTGATCTTTGTCGGTTATCACAAACATTTCCGTCGCATTAAAAGGAGAGAACGAACATTTGAGAAGAGCATAACGCAAGTTCACATTGATGTCACATCAAATATGATCGCTTCCGTAGACTCCCATTGCGTCACTGTTTATAATCGATTACATCCACGTGATGCATACAGACTGCAATGTGAACCACTCTTCATCAAGTAATAACCTTAAACAAAATATGATGGTGATTCACCGAGGACGCTTATCAGGGAGAAACAGGAGTCAACCGTGAAGAGCGTAATGCTTCTAGTCAATTTTGGCATACAGAATATGATGAATCTATTCATTTTTTCTTTATAGGCGACAACCGCGAGAGCCAACTGACTGTTCAGTTATAGAAACCTGTAGTTTTTAGAACTCAGAGTAGTGAAACATATAGGGGGCTCCGAGAGGACAGGTGTTGCGCGAGGTTGGGTGGTGTGGCAGGGCTTGAGCCCAGAATTTTGCACGAAAGTTGACGGGTAAGTAAACGCGGGTCACAAAGTACTGTTACGTGAGGAAATGTCACTTGCACCATGGACATTGAGGTGAGTAAAGAATCCATAACTGCTTATTAGAGAACAAGGAGAAATAGATGATCATAGCATTCCAATAGTAACTTAATGACTGGTTAGACCTAGCTAGCCCATCTGCAGCATTTACCGGGGTCCGTTAACCTCCACTATGAGTTTTTGCCACTAAGCTAAGTTTTTTAGCCGTTATATTAGGTAATGTGACCAAATTATCAACCTGTTCACGGAGCCGCACAAACTTACCCGTAACCAGGGCTTACCGTAATCCGGTCAGCAAGTTATACAGTTCGACTTACAAAGTAGATCAGACACTGACAGTTGAGGATCGAACGACTGGGAACGCTTCGACACTCCAAGTAGATATTTTGGTACGCGGACACGTCTCAAATCGCAGAACCTCTCCCCCCCCCATCTTTGTGGCTAACTGCCACCGGGTCAGAAAAGACACCAGTATCATGCTGGCCCAGCATTGGAATGCGTTCCAAGCTACATTGATACGGAACAAACTCTGGTACAATAGTTCGGTATTCTTATGACTGTCTTAAGGTCTATGCAATTACATACCACATTTAAAAACGAGTCATGGAAAATACGGTCCTCGCGTATTTTGAAGACGCAATGTTCGAAGTGCACGTTTGTCAGCGTGTTTCGAAGAACGTTGGACAATTGTGATCGATGAGCTGGATGGAAGGCGGAAAAGTTCGAAATACCATGCAGCAACAGAGTAATTGACACCTGTAGAACTTTATTATTAGTCTACGAGTACGTCACACACCGCCTTATTTTTCTACCGAGTGATTCCACTAGAATATGCTGAGAGCTTATATTACATCGAAGGAGTTGCACAGTGGAAGCTACCGAATCGAATGTATAGAAAAGCGACTAGACCAATTGGCTCATCCGTGTCGCACTGTCAAAATGGCGGGCGGCTTCAAAATCTGAATGATTCTCATACAATTTACCAGTCCGTTTTTTAAAGTTTGTGATGAAAATAACTAAATCGGGATACTAATAAAAATTCCGCATTTCCCTGATCGCTAAGCATGTCGAAAGATTAAGCTCTTCGTTGAGAAGGAATGAATGAATTTGTCAACTTACCCGTATCAGTGCATGCACCAGATATTGAGTCAACTTGCTAGTACAATACCGCAAAGCGGATTCACCTGCCACGTCAAGCCAAAGGAACTACAATTAGAATGTTGTGCTGTGCGCGACAGCCACGTTCGAGGTGCCAAACATCTGCTGAGCTGTGAGCGATGTACGACATCACTTGACTGTGCAACACCATTGCTGGAAGTCTCAATGTAGAACTTGATGAGCGGTTAAAAGTACTCACTAGCACCTAGGAGGTTCCTTGGCTCGGAAATACCACGTGCGACAGACCGCGTATCCCAGTGAAACCGTTTCGTTTGGATCCGCATTCAACTGATTTTCACAATTACGCTTGATTGAGGCGGATAACTGAAATGGTTCGCTCCGTAGCAAGTGGTCCACTATGTTCAAACGTTAACAGAGAATTAGGTCGCTATTTTTATTTATTTTATCTGATCCATTTAATTAGGATGGAGGATCAACACCTTCAGTTGACGATATACGATACGCCATTTGAAGGAGCACACCAGTACAACGGTCACCAAATCACTCTCATATGCACGTTAGGAATTACTCAGACAAACGACCTTAAAATAAGGCGCGTGCAAAGGGGCTCATCATATAACATTCTTGTTAGAACCTGACTTTAGGGATCGGCAATCCCGTTATTCCAAGACAGACAGGTGGTGCCAGCACAAGACAACCCCGAAACACGGACTAATCGGATCCCCGTGATGGCTCTCATTGTGACTGTTATTAGCTGGTCAAAGTCACAATAGCATCCGACACAACTGGAGTGACCACCAAGAAGACAGTTCCCAAAGGGGTCTTAAGTAAGGTTCATTCTTATTCAAGTTTTTACAAACGTGAGTCAAACAAATCATAGAGGTGGTTAAAAATGGGTTCTTCGAATCTTACCATCAAACACTAACTGGACAAAAGAGCACCTTAGTGAAAACTCGAGTCATGCTTCAGTGATCAGACCGATGCTGCAGAGGCACGGCTAGAAGATAGGAGCTGATAATTGATGTTCGAACACATCATAGTCTGATGAGGTAACTGGACGGCCAATTAAGGCCAGGAGTAAAGTAGCAAACAGCTGCGGTCACGTACTAACACGGTCGCTTTCAATCATGTCACCAGATGGGCATGCTTGACCCCTCGAAGGTAGGTAAGAGCTGGGAGAAATCCAACGATCAAACTGTGACCTGGCATAAGAATATGAGAGTACCAACCAGGGAAAATTGATCATGTAGACAGGTCACGTTGAGCCTCCGGGACTTCAGTTCCGGTCCCAGCAATGGTTAGTGTCGTAAACAGTACTTAGACATTTGATCATCTATGGACAACCGGTTTATTTGCACTTATCCTTAGCTTGACAGTGGCTACAGGTTTTCGCTCGGGTATTCAATGATCGACCGAATGGACGGCTAAAAAGTACTTAAAAGCACAGCATTCATCATCATCATCGTACAGCGAACTTCACTGACCGCTGCCAAACTCGCAATGCATACAAGGTTAGTGGTAAAATTTAAGGCGGACAGGAGTTGGATTTGTTTTGAGAGAGGGAATGATGAGTCACTATGGTCAACACAGAGCACACAATCGAACTCTGCATACATACCATTTCAAGCATTCTGACCCGATAAGAAAGGCGAGAGACACCGTCTCTACCTAATGGCTCTGTGCATTTCTTCATGCCTCGCCTCCACGTGGTTTCCTTCTGCCCGGATTAGCTACAGCGAATAAAAAGCGGTGCGGCAGACGATGGCTGGGCATACGCAATACGTGCCCTAGTCAGCGAAGTTTAGAATTCTGAATTCGGTATGCCAGCAGGTCTATACCTGACAGACTCCCAAACACACGACAGCTTACCTCCACGTTACTAACCCGTTCGCTCCATCCAACATGGGCTAAACTGGGTAAACACCGACAATCGAAAAATTCTAGTCGACGGATATCTTCTACTCGCAGCAAAACACTAATACAAACTGGAACTGAGGCTAGACTGAAGGTTATATTCCAGTCTGGAAATGACAGCGTTCGTACATACGTGATCAACTCATACACAAGTACTTCGCTTTGTGCAAA